ATAATTTATACGAATCCGAATTTATCATCAAATTACAAGAATATCACGTGGAGCATGCTTTTGGGCCCTAGACTACTCGGACTTAACATAATAGTAGCTACGCACGAACTCTCTTCACCTAGTGCATACGTAGCCCCCGCATATAATAGCAATTAATTCAATTATTATACCTATGGGGACAATTCTCTCTTACAAGGTTAGAAAGGAGACTCACCTCGCTCTACAGTGCACTTCCAATATGAAGAACGAGTCCAAGCCCTTAATTCGGAACCGAACGATCCCAAACTAGTTAAATGAGGTAGGAACTAGTCAATATAAACTCACAAGATCGAATTCTAACTATTTAAGCAATTTCCCAACTTTTAACACAAGTTTTCTAAAATCCGACCCCGGGCCCACGTGCCCGGATTCCGAAATCTTTCGAAGGAAGTTGTTCTCTATAACCTAAGGATCGATAATATATGATTTCTAATTCATTCCATAACAAATTTCGTGGTTAAATCTAACTTTTATTAAAAACCCTAGGTTTTGCTCTAACCCCTTGATTTACCTAAATTCTAGTGTTTAATCTACCTAAAACACAAGTATTAAACTAAGAATTAGTGGGATAGACTTATCTCAAGATGCTAGGTGGAAGTCTCTTCTCAAAAGCTCCCAAAATCGCCGATGGAGGAGTGAAAAGTAGTAAAAATTGACTTAGAACCGTATTAAATGAAGCTCACGGCTTCAGCAATTTTCGCATCTGCGGTCAGAGGACCGCATCTGCGGTCTTGCATCTGCGAGAAAGGGCCGCATATATGAAAAAGGGCCTAAAGGGTTGGGACCGCTTCTGTGGTCTTGAGGCCGCTTCTGCAGAGCCGTTTCTGCGGTTCAAGAGCCGCTTCTGCGGTTTGGCCTGGCCTTCCCTGGGCCGCATCTGCGATAGATGGACCGCATCTGCGGTCCACCAATCGCAGGTGCGGTTATGACAGAAGTAGCAACTTCAGCACTTCTCAAAAATTTCAACTTCACTCGAGCCTCGTCCGATTGATGCTCGGTGCTCCCGGTCCCCGCCCGAACATACCGACAAGTCTTAAATGACGAAACGGACCTACTCAAACCTTCGGAACGCCCGAAACAACGCTAAATCTAAGAATCACCCCCTAAAACCAATTGAATCAAACTTATGAACCTCAAGTTCTTAATTTTCCTTTAATGGCCAAAACGCCCTTAAACTACTCGGATTGACACCAAATTTTTCGGGCAAGTCTTAAATGTTATTTCGAACCTATACCGGGCTTCGGAATCAACATACGAGCCCGATAACCATGTGATCAATCATTAATTAGTTTCTTTAAATCCTTAAAACTTCATATTAACAATTTCTAATAAAAATTCATTACTCGGGCTAGAGACCTCGGAATTCGATTTCGAGCATACGCCCAGGTCCCATATTTTCCTACGGACCCTTCGAGACCGTCAAATTATGAATCCGGGTCTGTTTGCTCAAAATGTTGGCCAAAGTCAAACTTAGCCCTTTTTAAGAAAATCCTAAGGAATCAAATGGGCATATTTCACTCCAAACTCTTCCAAATCCCGAAACAACCGTCCTTGCAAGTCGTAAATTAGCTAAAGCAAGCGCGGGAAGTTTTATTTAAGAAAACAGGGTTCTAAAAGGCAAAACAATCAGTCGGGTCATTACAGATAGTCTGGTGAAAGGATATTGCATTGCACTGAATAGAGACATCCAACAAATTTTAGAAACTAATTAATCTAGTAGTTTGTGCTATTTATCCTTCCTTAAAAAGTGAAGAGAACCATTTGACAGAACAGATATGTTTCTTTTATATTCTGCGGACTGCGAATGCTTGCTTCAAGAAGAGCTAGAGCTTTGCAATCTCTGACAAAGCTAAATGAGTAGAGATGGCCAAGCTCCAAAAATGTCAAAGGTTTTAATGGTGCAAATTATATTGTCAACTCACACCTCCACTGCATTCGCTAACATGTCATGAATAGATCTGAAATATTGCCTATGATTATGTGTTAAACGGGAGTACATAAATTGGTGCATAATTTAATGAACAGGGATTCTGAACCAATAATTTTGATCAGCTTGGGACACTCTGTCAGAAGATAAGATTTATTTGCATGAAAATTGCACATTCTGCGCTAGCAACAAGAAATGATTAGAGATTCTTGGCTCTGTTTAACTGTTTTGTTCAACTGAAGGTTACTATAATTTCTAAAAGCCAGTGTATAGGTTTCTGCATGAGACAACAGAAAATCCATAACTTAAACATTGTGGGTTCTAAAAACTATATCCAACTCTATATTGTACTTGTTTTTCATATTTATAGTTCAACTCCAAAACTAAGAGACAAAATATTGGATTCTACGGAACTCGTAAACAGAGGAGGACCGAGGATTTGAAGGTGGTGGGGATACATGAGCGAACTACTCAACCAGTGCCTCCGTCGTACTTTTGATCTTAAGGTTTCCAAGCAAAATATATGATGGATTCCGACATACATACACTTATTTATTCAGCATTTTTGTTGAAGTTAACAGAATTCAGTGACCCCTCTTTTCCAGGCATAGGTCCGCCTCTACTTGTAAATAACTGGATATAAACATCATGTGCATATCCTGTCATTTACTCTTCTTCGTAAGGCTTCTTGGATTAGAGGACTATAAGGCCTTGCATTGTTCATCTAATATACGGCTTGCATTGTTCATCTAACTACTAAATGTAGCATTGATTGACTATGCAAAAATAATACTTCCTCTGTTTCAATTTAGATGATACATTTTCTTTATTAGTCCGTTCCAAAAAGAATGACATATTTCTACAATTAGAAATAATTCAATTTTATACTCTTTATTTTACCTTTAATGAGAAATTTTTATAATCACACAAATATCATAGACCCATAAAGTTTTTACCATTTAAGCTTTTAAGATCACAAGACTCAAAAATCTTTTTTTTAAACTCCGTGCCGAGTTAAACTACCCATCTGAATTGAAATTGAAACGGAGGGAGTATGTGTTTTGTTGGTCAACTAATGGATAGTTCGTGCTAGTGGTGAAGCCAGGAATTCTTTTAAGGATGTTCAAACTTGAAAGAAGTAAAAATAATCTTCGAGAAAGGGTGTTCAATATACATTATACACTTTTAAAACATTTTTACATTTAAAAAAATATGTATTCTTTGGTCAACTCAATCATCAAGTAGTTGGAAGTGTTGCAGCTTGCCATATGGCGCATTATCAGCAGCACGTCTTTCCTTGATCCAAACGTTTAAGACAGGATTATTTAGTCAATCCTGGTTTTTATTTGTACCGGAAAGGCGAATAATAAGGAAAATCATAAAGCATTTTAAAATTCAAACCTTAAACAGTTATTAAGGTTAAAAATAGATTGATTCTGCGAAATGGCTCCAGCCCTCTGCAGTGGAAGCAATTAGTCCCTACGCGGAGGTTAAAAATAGATTGAGTCAGCGTTGCAACCACACAGGACTATTGATTATTGACCTGTTAAACTTGGTGGAAGGTCCAATAAAACTGCAAATTGTGAACCTACTTGCATGTTTTAGACTTTTACTTGTGAAACAGATCAGTTCTGTTTGAATTGCCTCGTAGGCGCTTGACTCAACCCAAGTGATAATCACGAGA